ATTAAAAGACGGTGGTTAAAAATACCTGGTGTTTTACTGTTATTTGGAGTCTTGAATGAATATTTAACATGCAGCGTTTGAGTTGATCTCCCATTATATTTTACTTCTTTTTAGTGTAACGACATGCAGTTACAGAAATTATAAAAGGAATAACAAACACGGTATGTATTAAACCAACTAATGCAATAAGTAGAACAGTCTTAGCGAATGTAACATACATGTAAACACTGTAGAAATACAACGGCAGCACCAATATCACAGTCGTCAAAGCTGCCTAAAATAAACAGAAACGATTTATTAATTCTTTCTAACACTTAAAAATTCCTCTTGACCCTCTTATTTTCCCGTTCGAGCGTCTAAAAAGAGCAAAAAAAATTAATAAGTATAACCTCAACCGACGGAACCGCAACTGCTTGCAGCACATCAACAAGACTTTCAGGATTAGCAAGTCCTATATCTTGAGAAAAACAATGGTAACTGATATGTGCTGAGAAGTCGACAGTTAAACCAACAGCCATCACAATATTTACCAGAACCATTGTATCCAAATCTGCTCCCATAACATACAAGCCACCAACAACACCTAAACACTTCTTAAGACACCAAGAAAGTACAAAGTTATTTTACTAGTATGTCTGAAAAAGGATCTTTACAACATTTTCACAAGAAATTTTTTTAAAATTATAACAGTAGTAATACAACAGCACAGAATCTTACCAATGGTAATAGACGCAACCGATGTAATTGCACAGATAGCACCTCGTAAAGTTGGAAAAAATACTAAACAGATGACAGCCATACATATCAATGTGATTATCACTGACTTTAAAACTGCTGATCGAGACGATACGATCAGAGCTAAAACTGCCGACTCGCTCATATAGACTGAAAACCCTTCTGGCATCTTGCTGCGCAAATCTTGCAACATGAGGGCTCTTTCTCTCCAACTCCCAAATCCATGTACACAAAGATCAAAGGCGATTTTTTCAACTCGGGATATTATTCTGAACACCTTACAGAAATAAAATCAGAGTACGGATCACAGTAAAACAAATCTTTCTTTTCTTAGACGTGAAGGTTATTAGAAGAAAAAAAGGAATCACAGGAACCATTGTCTATCTCCGCTTTGGACATAGCGAGAAGATGAATTTGATGAGCAACAGGGAGCAAAAATTAAGTCAACAAAAACCTGTTAGAGAACAAAACATCTTTCACAGTATTTGGATACTGAATGAGATACATTCCTAAATTCGCAAAATATGATTCTATATCAGTTGCATTTCCTCCAAGTCCCTTGGCATCGTATTCTTCAATCCAAATTGGAAAATTACTACATAAATATTCTATTCTGCGAAACTGTTTTATCCTTTTCATTAGTTTTTTGGCGTCATTGGGGACTTTATTAATGAAAACTCGAATTATTTCATGGTCTCGGAACATCTAAATCGTTTTTAGAAATAGATTACTTCAAACAGAAATAGATCTACAATTAAAACTTAGTCGGTCATGCGAAGAATACCTCTTCGTTTTGAACTAAGGATTTCGCGAGAAATGATTGTGAATCAAAAGTTTTTTCCGGTGAAAAGTTCTCTTCCATTGACACCCCGCCATAAATACCGGCAGTCCAGTAAGCCAAAACTACTAATGATAAAACAACACGTACCCATGTCAATCTCAGCCACTCAGAATAAATTGTACCGAATGATTTGGTCCTAAAATTGGAGATTCACCGATCCCAAGAGAAGCACGAATAAGATTATTGTTTGAATGAATTAACCTACGATTTTTTTTCAATTAATGGTACTTCTGCTTTTACGTCTTTAAGAAACAGTAACATTGGCGAGAATAAAAATACTTGCAAAATCCAATCCAAACTAAATGCTAAAGCCGCACTCAAGCAAAATAACCGTAAGTCTGGGGCCGAAACATAACTGCCAATCTAAAGCAGCTAAATTTAATCAAAACATGAAGTCTGAGTGGATAAAAGAAGCCTCAAATTATTATTTAAAAAATAAAGGTAGAAAAAAAAGACAACCCACCAAGAAAGCCGTTATGTTTGTGACCGACGTTAGTGTGATAGAAGGACCAGTACGCAGCATGACATAGCGTAGGCGAGCGACTTTACTGAATTTCTGAGAATTATACCAATGATGTATCATCAGAAAGGCATCATCTACACCAATTCCAAGCACCAAGAAGGGTGTGATTAGCCTGCGTTTTGATAAAAAGTGGACTCAAGCGTAACAGTACTACGTAAATACCTCGGTATACGAAAAATTTTAACTTCTTTACTAGCGCTATCAATCGCAAACCATATTGTTTCGCCATCGACAGAGGAAAATATGATTTCAGAAATTACGACAAATTAAAAAAGATACATCGCACAATTCACAGGTACTCCTAATGATGAAATAATCGCCATCGTACAAGCTCCAGCAAGAAGGGGACAACAAATTGTCCAGAACGTTAGATAAAATGCATGTAGTGAATTCTGTAAACAAAGACACTAAATTCTGTATGCGAGAAACAGTGCATATTAAAAAATATTTCAAAAAACCAGGTAATCTTAAGTGACGAAAGAATATTTTACTACTGAAATATAGTTTCTATCAACGGAAAAGAAAATACCTTGCTGTAACGAAACAAGGTCAAGAAAACAAATAAAATCATCAGAGCAGATCCAACCAAGAAGTACGGACAAGCGCCAAATGCGCTTGAGCTTATTTCACTATTAACCACTGAATCCCCAAACAGGCGCATTCTCGTGATATTATTATCGTCACTCTTAAATTTTCCAGGAGATTAAGATAGAACTGCTATAAACAAACACAACAGAGCGTAAACAAAAAATTTTAACGGAAAAGTGTGAGCATTAAGAAGTCAAAAAAAGTGAACAAAAAACATTCTGACATATTTTTCCTGCAAGAATTTAATGAGTCTTGAGTTTCTGATTACCTTTAAACGCTCACTCCAAAGAACTTCAGCTTTCTTCACAAATTCCAGGTAAGGGTTGTCGCCTGTGAAGCCAAAAGAGTACGCAAGCATTTTCGCACCGCCGTCCTTGTAGCCATAGATAGCTCGAGCCATTATAATGTTTTGACCGAAAAACTTCGCCACTGGGTATCCTATTTGAGCGTTCGGTCCAGGATTAGTTAGAGCACTCTGTAACTCTGGTAAAAAAACAGAAGATTTTCCAAAAAAAACTTTCAGTATTTTGCAAATACTTACCTCAATCACGTTAAATTGAGTGTCATCTGAAAAAAGGACAAGGTCTTTGAGATATCTTGGAAAAAACCGGAAGAAACCAGTGGTTGATGTAATGTTTAACTCAGTAGAAAGGCCACGAGCGATTTCATTCCGCATAACCATAAACTGCTCCTTCCTCAACATTGATCCTCCATCAACACTTTCGCCGACTAACATTACCTGACAAAACGGAATAAAATGGCAACAATGTCAAAATTTAGTCATTAAACGTTGCAGAAGTAGACATTAACATACCGTATACGGCTGCTTGGTTAGGCCATTAAAATTGAGAAAGATTCCGTGCTCTATCTCCGACTGTGAATCCAACTGCGAATAGCCGCTACGGAAATCGTCGTCAAAACGAAGATAGATATTAAAACATGACAGTGCAACAGCGAACTAAAAAAATAAAAATATTTGAAACTACTTTAAAGGCACGTAAGTGAGAAGTTTATAAGCCCGAGAAGAAACTACCATAAATGTTAGGAAACTGCAGCTCCCATAATGTTGCCCGATAAATGTCCCTATATGCCAGAATATGCAACGATGAAGGGCTAGAATTCCAGTCCCGCTATTTCCGTCCACTGAACGGCCCACTAGCCAACAATTGTTGTCATTAGAAAATGATACTTGAGTACTTCTTGTAACCTGTAATTTTAGCCAAGAACAGTTCAAAATTTCACTTAATGACCAGATGCTTTCTTGATTTAAAAACAGAAATACAACTGAAATAAACTTTAAAATCTGTATCAAGGTATAGTAGTTATGTACAAAGAAACTAATGTACAGAAGAAACACTCAGTTTTTACCTTTTGCTCCCCTCGGTTTACAGCATTGCTCATTTTTTTAAAGCAGTAAGTATAACAATATGATACCTTCCTTAGGAGGGGAAAATTAGGTTCCGACTGGCGGTAAAAGATCAGTGAATGAACAGTGACCAAAAGAAATAATATCTGAAATTACAGTTAACCATTACGATCCCGACAGTGTGTACACTGATTGTTATGTTGCCATCATTACATCTTCGAAACTCCATATTTAATCGCCAGCTGATTTTAACCTTCCGGCCAAAATTGTACGGTGTTCCCACTTGTGGTTGTATTATTGTATGGTTATACTCTAATACCAACGTTTTTTTTTTTAAATTTGAGCCTGGGGCTTTAGTGCAGCCGGTGTTTACTCGCTGAGTGTCTTTTTTTAAAGAAAGTAACCACAGCCGATTAGTTATTTCCCGACACTCTTCAACTTGCAGTAGTAACCGCCGTAACAATCTTTTAAACTGTTGCTCCGAGCCTCATGGTCTGCACGTTTCTTTGTAAAATTTTTCTGGTTCTGGACATCTTGCTCTTACATTTTAAGGCGCTCAATGCATCTTCATTACATTTGACACTTGTAAACTATGTTATTCATCTTTTTATACTACTCCCGCAGCTTTTATATGAAAGTTTCAACGTCTGGTCGAAGACGACAAAGGAAAGAATCAGTAAAGCTGCCGCCTCTGGAAATCAAAAGTTATTCTTCTCTTGCCTTCCCCCTCGCCTTCTTTTTCTTGACTTGCAGGAGGTTCCCGATCAAAACCTTGAACACCTGAATCTGGTGAAAACAAGGGAGGAAATTTTTTTTCCATTGTTTTAGGCTTTTTCCCTTTTGTTTTACAACAGGAGGAAGATATGAACAGTCATTCTGAGAGAAAAAGTTCTTTGGAGGACTAGATATCTACGGTGACTTCCTAAACGAACTTTTTCTCAAACGCCTTATGAAGGGAGATAAACGGAGGCAAAAAAATTTATGAAAATACTGTCAATTTCTTGCTACATTTAGGGACATTCCTACACAAAACTTCCTCCGAAGTTTACAAAAGGTGTAACTAAAAATTTTTAGCGCATAATTTTGTGTTAACAAATCGCAAACATAACACTTTTGTGACCATTTTCTAACACTTTTTGAGTTAAGGTTATGACCCCCCAAAACTTCTTCACCGTTATAATCGGCTCTAAAAACAAGTCCATTGACTTATTCCGCAGTACATAAATCCCATTTATGATGGAAATTTTATTTGATGGCAATAATCTTCTTGAAGAAGTACAAACAACTCAACAGAGTAGAGTTTTCTAAATTTAGTCAGAGAGTCACCGTAAACTATTGCATATTTGACATTTTTCAGTGTGGAAAAAGCTTAGGAGTTACGTGTCCTGTTGACTTTCACTATTGTTTGTATTGTTCTTGGAGGTTTCTCTTGTTCTAAAACGAGAAGGAAATCGAAATAATAAGCGTGAAAGAAATGGTTCTATAGAGAAATAGCCATCTACTGTAATCTTACCAAGTGTTTTCTCTTAGATCCTTAACAAAATACTGCTGAAACAATCTATACGGAAATTACATAGCCGTAACAACAGTACAAGACGAATGGGTATCACAATCGTACACGATTGAATACACAATGGCGGAGATCAATTGATCGGCACTTTATTCCTACAAAGCTTGGAACCACCGAGCTTATATGCTGCCTTCCGCTTTCGTATCTCCCGTCTAAATTGCCTCTTAGTAGAAACTGTCTGGTC